ACACTTCATTACGAATTAATGCTCACTACAAGCAATCCATTCTTTTAGCAGTAGAGAATATTTTTCTCTGTGCAGTAAGATGAAACTTACTAACAATCTATCCTACAAACATAATAAGAATGAAAACAGAGAATTTATACAAGGAAAGAATTATAATATTTTCTCCGTGTAAAGGCAAAAGGTGTCACCTAGTTTAGCTGAAAAAAATAAACCTAACGATGCACCAGCCCTGCATTGGTTAAACTCGGTTCTTCATTCTACACTACACCACTCAGTAAGCTTTTGGATTAGATTAATGCATATTTCCAAATCTGAATTCTAAAAGTACAAATTAATCGAGCAAGTCGGAGCTCACTGAGCGTTTAATGAGCGATGTTAATACTGAATGCGTCCATGGTATCAGCTCCTTAATTGCAACTTACTTTTTCAAGCGGAAATGAATTTCAAGAAACTCCCTCGTACGTCCGGAAGCTCTTTCTCTCCCTTTCCTCCTCCACTCTCTTTCTCTCTCTCTCTCTTTCTCATGCGAGAATTGAAATCACTGCATCTCACGCGCCGATTACGTGTCTAGTTGTTTATATCCCAGACGATGTCGTGTTCTTTACTGCGAATTCGAATGAAGCCGATGGAGCAGCGACAGCATTAAAGATCCGCGGGCAAGGCCGCGTTTTTGCATTGATTATCGGGCCGCGCGGTACTCGCTCGCAAAGTTCATATCCGCCTGAACTTCATATGACACGTTGCTTCTCGCGCTTCATCTAATCGACACAATTCGCTTGCGATTTCGTTAATTAACGTAGAAATCGTTCACTCGTACGCGCACACGCGCGCGTGCACAAAACGCAATTTCAAACCGTTTCGATCCAGCACTCACGGGTTCTCGCAAGTTCCTCCAACGGGATTGGAGCCACACTCCCTGTTTTTTCTTTCTCTTTTATTTACGCTTGCGTTTTTTTCCTTATTTATTATAATTTTTTTGCTTTAATTTAACCGCCGCGTTTCCCCGCACTCGAAGTCCTTCAGTTTTCTGTCACTAACAACGAAAATTGTAATCGCGCTCCGGTAATATCACTCTTCTGTGATTCGCGAGAAGTCGCGACGGACGGCGCGTGAGAATACACCTTCCTACGTTCACTCGGCGCGGCGGTCGGCGCAACACTGACAATATTGCGTATCGGTACTGCAAACGAGGCGCCGCGGCCGCGATGAGACAGGCGCGCGAAATCGCCGCGGTCGCCTACGCGCGCGCCGCGTGATGCACCGTTTGTGTCTCTCTCTCCGCGTGTCGCCAAAATTAGACAAAAGCATGGTTAACTTGGACGCGTCTGAAAGAATCGCGACGCGTATAAACGCAAAGAAAGAATTCGCACCTTGGCAGTAAAACAGAAAGCAATGAGGCGGGAGCCAATCGGAACTCGCGCTGGTGGTCAGAGGTGGTAGTCAACAGTTTTTGCTTTTCCATCAGCGCGAGTTCTGATTGGCTTTCTGTTTCCTACTTTTCTGCCAAGGTGTGAATCCTGGTAATACGTGGGATCACGTCGTACGCGCGGACATCATCGTCGCGTAACACGCGATCTGTGTGTACGTGTGTAATTGCGATTGTGCGATTGTGGACAAGCAGACGCTATCGTGTTTTTTAATTCTAAAGTTGCACGAATAACTTCCTAAAGGATTACTTAAGAGTTCAAGATATAAATACATGAAGAGCAAATGTGAGAAATTGTATTATTCTCTTTTCCAATAAATATAATAAAGAAAGAATAAGATTGTTCAGAAGAATGTGAATAGTCAAGAATGTCGGGATAATCTCAAGAATTATAAGAATATTAGGACAAAATTTAAGTTACTGATCAAATTAATGGAAAGCTATGGAATTTTCTAATCAAAATAAACAGAATCTAAGGAAATAAATATAGAGCTATTATTTGAAAAACGAACAGAAATTAGACTAACAACTATACTAGACTAACAAGTTGCTCTATGATCTTAAAGTTCCAGTAGGAAAATCTACGGCATGATAGCTCGCGCGTCTAATTTCCAAAAAGAAAAAAGTGAATAACTTTTACTCATACTGAAAAAAGTGAATAACTTTTACTCATACTGAAAAAAGTGAATAACTTTTACTCATACTGGAAAACTTAAATCACTACAAAAAGTCACTAAAAATTAGAAATGCCTTAATATCTGTATTTTCTATATAAAAACATAAAAACACGATAATGTTGAATAAGATATTTTTACTGTAACATTACATTTTTATAGTTTATTTATTTTATATTTACATTATTTTATATTATTTCTAACTTTTTTAAGCTCTTTTATTTCATTTTTTTTTTTTTGGTATACATGAATAAAAGTTACTTATTTTAGAATTAAGTGTAAAATTTATTTGTCACTGCAGATCCAACTATTTATCTTGCAATCATTAATTTTTCGGCAAATTCTCTCAGTTGTCAAATTGACAACCGAGATAATTTGACAAATTCTGTCAGTTCTCTATCAACGAAGGCCTCGGTAAACATCATCATGTTTCTCATCTTCATCAGTATGAAATATTGTCAAAGTAAAAGTGGATATTAGTATGGAAAAGAAACTTGCGACATTCACAAATGAGACAGTTATTTGCTCCTACTTAGATTTATCGGAGTGTTGGTTCTCAAACAGAGCCGCGCATGACACTTGAGTAATCCTTGTAATCGGTTTCGTCAACGGACTATCCGCAGTAACTATAAAAAGAAAAAAAGAAATTATACCGTTTGATTGACCATTTCATTACGTAACGCGGCGCGAACCGCTCTATGTATTTTGCACTCGTCAATATCATTCAGCATTTTTAACAAATTTAATTAACTCATTGATGTTCCATATTTTGCTGCGCATCGTTCTTTCTATATTTAACGACGGCGGAGTGTATTTTTATCCGCCGCGTATTTTTATCGTCGTGATATTGCACAATTGCGCTGCTATCCAGATCGCCAAAGTATATCCGTCTGGATCTGAACCGCTGCCCAGCGCGAGATTTACGACGTGAAACGAATAGCTGGGCATAATTTAACCAATCGATACTCAAGCTGTCTTCGATTGCTCGTTTATCCTTTCAATATTCCACGGTATTTCACGCTCCATTTTCACCTTTGAATATCCATATCGCACGCGGTTAACATATTTTCACCCGCCCGCCAACTACGAACTGATCTTCGTCACTTTCTTTCTAGTCTTTCCCCAAATTTTTTTCCATTAACTTTTTTAAGATATGAACAATATACCTTAAGATCCTTCTCTATTATTTATTTTATTAGTCATACTGAAATAGATATCACTGTTTTCTTGTAAGAGATATTACTCGAGTAAAAATTATTCATCCTTGATTATACCACGCTGACAAAAAATACTTAAATATTTATTTGTGAGAAATAAAGTTTATTTTTGTGAAATATAGAGTTTATTTATGTGAATAAACTTTACATCTTACAAATAAATTTTTGTGAGATATAAAGTTTATTTTACTAAAATTATTATTATTATTGACACAGAAATTATTATTATTTCCTATATTATATATATATATCATTATTATTATTATTATTTCCTATATTATATATATATTGTTATTATTATTATTATTTTTATGAAATAAACTTTTATTCCACAAATAAATTTCTATATATTTTTTTCAATGTATTATATTTCGAATGTATATTTTTTTCAACTACGATTAAGAAATCTAGAATTATTTTGTGAGGGAGATTACAACGAGATCGTGTTCATTAACACGTTTAGCCTTTTGGCCTAAATTAACATTTGTATCTATATATGGATATTATCGCGCAGTAGAACGTTAACCTTGGCAACAATAGAGCGGTCCTATTCGGTCCGCACTCCGCATGTCTCCGCATTATATGAAAACATTTTCGAGGTCACAACAGGCGAATTGCTATTAAATAATATAAGCGTTGCAGCGGTTCATTATTGCTGCACATACGTAATATCATAAAGTATTTGTTATTCTATGCGTAATTACTATCTTCGTGAACTCATTTTGTTATTGTCCACTATAATCGGCAACCAATTGCCACGGCATCGAAGACAACATCTCTATCTCCCCTTACAAGCGCGAGATAATCAATTCTGAATCGTCTGAGCGAAGAGCTGATAAGTCTCCATCGCCTTGAAATGTAAAAACAATCGATAACTTCGAAGAGCAGGACTTAGAGAACTTAGAGTCACTTCGCTTTCATGGATCACTCGATCTTATCTGATGATAAGGAACAGATCCTATAACAATAACAAAGAAAAAAGTGGGAAAGTTCGTTAATTCGTTGGTGACACTTTGGAAATTTATCTATCTGCCGACACGCATCTGGCGTCAACCCACGAGACGGTCCGTTCGCAGCGCAAAGTGTTGAAATGTAACTCTCATGCCTAACGATTGCGCTTATCGCTGAGTTTCCGTGCTGCTATCATACCAATGGCGTCAATGAATTGAAAGTTTTACTATTTTTTTTTATTCATATCTGGGTTAAATATAATTTGCACTTCTTCAGCAATATGGGGCACGCACATACATACACACACACGCTCGCAATATATTATCTGAGGTGGTTTGAAATATTTAATAAAGATTACGCGTTAAATTTTCGCGCATGTCGAAAATAAATTTCAGATTATACTCTTATAGCGGCATTTGCGTTTGTTTTAATTTCAAAAGTGAAGGCAATAAGAAATGTATGTTATCTCTAATGAGCATTAAAGGTGATATTTATCAGAAATACATTTATTATATCTCACATATACATATAGTGCATCTAATTAAATAAGGTTAATATATTAAATGTTACATTTGGAAATATTAAATATTAAAAGTTATATTTTTATTTGTACTTGGTGTTAATATATAATGTCTATAAAAGTGTGTTTTCTCATACTTATAAGAAATATCGCAGTTTCTATCTATTAACGATCACACATACACACACAGGCAATATATATATATTTTTTTTACCAAATTTTTTTTTAATATTAATAACATATTAGTTCGATGATATATCGTTTAATTTAATTAGATTTAATTTAATTAACGTTTAGTTTCTTAGGAGTCTACAGAGTTTCTTAATTATAATACTGTAACATTTGATGACGAGTTTTTGTCGCAAGCATGCGCCGTGACCAAGAACTGTATTAAGATCAACAGGTACGTGGTAATGCTTCCCACTATCTGCAAAAAGAATAGCGCGGGATTAAGATTACGTAGTCGCGTAATATACTCGGGAATAAACACGTTTGCTTAACAAATTCGCGAATGAGGCTGTAACTGTGGCTTACCGCGGTGAGAAGTGTCGCGTCCACAGTGAGACCTTTCGCGGAGAATGTATTTTCACGATGCAGTATTTGCAAGGAGAACAGCTGCAACTGCAGACACACGCAGAACAATCAGATGCGGAACCGAAAAAGTCGACATTCACGCATGGAAAATAAATCACAGGTTGTGCAACTAGATAGGGACCAGATGTCAATCCGGCGACGTGATATCTCTGTTACTGCAACCGGATGCATTTGTCCAAAGATTTGACAAAATATTGACTTTTTTGCATAGTTTACGTTGTATTGGTTGTACAGAATTGCAAATGCTTGCACACAATGAAAGTATGTGCAAAAATAAATGGTATTTGGTTGCAACAACTGAGAACAATTGACTAAGTAAAACTTCCCACACGAATCTTCCTGTTCCTACAACTGAATTTTTTATCTGCTCCTTATTTTTATCAGATATAACGGAAAACTCAGTTACGTTAACGAACGGAAGAATCGCAGCACAAAGAATTTTTCTCAATACAATATTTCCTTATAATGACGTCAATAACGTCAATACAGTTTTAATGACGCATTAGTGACGTCTCTAATGTAAAAAATACGTCATTCTGTTACTTAGATCGTAAAGATATAAATTAACATTTCGCTACCTCGTCCTTGATCTGCTTGTCGCTGGTGCTAATGAGTACGTCATGCACGGTGGTACCGATCTCCGCAGCCTGATCCTTACCGGTCTCGCAGGCCCATACCATCAGCGCCATTTTTATAGAATAATACGCTACGGACATGATGAAGTACGAGTACCAGATTCGTTTCTCCGGGTCTATAGCGGGTTTCCCCTGCCATTGCAGTATGTAGAAGTACAGACTGAAAGTGACCTCACCGAAGGTCATGACCACGGTGGCGAGGAGCTGCAGACTGAAGGTCGAGTTGAGCATTTGCACCGTGTCGCTGACCATCAGATGTCTTTTCTTCAGGGCCTTGAGTTCCATCAACAGAAATGGATTTCTCTGTTCATGATAGATCCTCCTGAGTAGATGCGGCTCGTCGTTCATCACGAGCTCCCGCAAGTTCGCCAGATTGTCATTGATCCGCTTGAAACAGGCTTTCAGTACGCACACGCAATTCATGTACAACATGTCGATCTGAAACACCAGTAGGGTGATGTACAACATGTACACCTTCGCCAAGGCTTGATAAACATTCGACGAGTAAACATTCGGCGCCTGGATGAGCAGGAAGAAAAAGCCGAAGATATCCTTGGCGTGGATCAGCCAAGACAGCTTGTGATACGACTCTGGCGGTAGTTTCGACGAGATATCCTGAAGTGCCTGAAGGAAACGCATTCGTTGGCCAGTCATGACGTACGTGACGATTGCCATGATGCCGCCGAGGATGAAGTAGCAATTACCTTGAAGAGAGCTAGGCACGTTCTCGTACTTTAACGTTGTGGCGATGTCGGTCTGATATAACACTACTAGTCCGTAGCCGCAGAAGATCATGAAAACGACGGTGGACAGGATGTAGCGCGCTTTGGAGCCCAAGAAGGCCGATGCATTGATCTTGTATGGAAATATGCCGATTACACGGCAGAATGTGAAGCAAGGATACATTAAAGATTGAAAGTCCGTGGCGTGGAACAGCCGCCATCGCTGCTGCGCTTTGCTCTTGGACCGCGGCAGCTTCTTCGTCGACAGCGGACGGAACATAATCAATACAGGATCAGAGGAGAACAAGATCACCTAATCCGTAGACCATAGTCCGATAAAAGCCAAAAAAAGGAAGAGAAGAACGATCAACGAGCTGAGTCGAACGCGATCCACATAATCGTCGCGATTCAGCGCTGAAGTGAGCTCTTCCTGCGAGTTTCGCTCTCAAGTTCGCTCCGTCACGACGGACTGGTGAACCGTCATGGGTGTTCTCGTGCGGTAGTCCACCTGCTCACGGCGAGTTTAAAACTGCGAGGTGTACCGGTGTCGAACCGCGAGGCAGGACACAGGGATCATTTGTTAGCCGTGAAGTAACCATGGCGCTCTTCGATCGGCCCTTGTCACCCCTGGGATGCAGCGCATAACGTAATGACATGTAATTGCTGTGACATATGACCCATCATCTTGCGCATCTAGATCACGCGAGACAGAATCGTATGTGCATACGACGCGTGGCAAGAGGACGCATCGGCTGCGCAGTATCCCGTCAGTAGCTCTCAAAGGCCGCGTTCAGCGAGCACAACGCTTGAGTGATTGACTGTTGGAAGATAGATGCCATTGACAGATCTAACAGCATACGATTCTAGATTACAGATTATTTTTTAACGACTGTACAATCACGGATACAGAAAGATTGCCCGTTCTTTTTTGTAAATTTAAGAACATATTCTGTCTTGTGCCCCATGAGAGAATTCTTCTATTAGAAAGCAACTTCTTCCAGTAAATAAGAGGAGATACATTCCTAAACTCACAACAAAAGACGAACAACTTTTTTGTCCGCGATTGTAAAACCGTGGTATTTTCTGAACGCAGCCAAAGGTCCGCATTCTGAGTGCTTTTATGGTCAAAAAGTCTGAAGTCTATAACTGTACGACCTAATGATCCTGTTCGATCTTGTTCTTATAATTAAAAAAAAAAAATACGTACGTTATTTTACATTTAATTTTCCTTTTTCCTTTTTTCTATTGAAAATATTGTCTCTGTAAATAATAGATTGATTTTTATTTTTAATAAATTAGTGCAAATCTGTCGGAAATTGTCGAGCCAAGCTCGATTCGTGAGTAGTATCGTACGCTGAAGTATCGTCGAGTTGCGCTCAGCCGGTTTTGAGAAACACTGATATAGATCGGCGTGAAAGGCATATGCGTAACAAATATAATGTCGATAAACCGAGTCATGATGCAAGGACAATGCTATTATCTAGATTAGAATTAATCGACATATTTCCCTGTCTGATGAAATTGTTAACGGACACGTACGTGGCGATACCCCGCGTGGACAACAAATTACTTCGAGGTGGCAGTCTTTTGTATTTTAACGACAATAAGGAGTGTGGGGTACAAATGACACAGACGTTATCATTACGATAATGTGTTGGTCACATTACGTCTCACCAAAAATTCATTAAATTTTCGCTGATGAATGAGACTACGCACTTCGCAGATATTTCTTTGACAAACCACGTTTCAGCTAGTTAAACATCCAATCCACTTTGAGTATGATTGCGTTCTTATATACCCAGCGAAGAATTGGAAGAAGGAACGAAGGATAGGTAAGAATAAATAGACTGGAGTATTGGACAAGATCGATAAAAAGAAAAGAGGGAAACCTCAAAAAATATTTGACAAACTCTAAGTAATCGCATTTGATAAGAATTTTCCCAATACTTATCGCTTCTATTTTCATTTATGGACTCTCTGATCAATTTAGAGTTGACCTTTTTCTAATAAAATAATAAATAGATAGATAGAAATTGTTTATATAGAGGAGATTCACAGACGAAAGGAAAGATATTTCTTCCAAATCGATACAGGATTTCTGCAAATAACTTATTTTATTTCTTAGTCTCCTCGTCCGACTTTTGTACTCAATATTTTATTATAAAGTACTCATATATCACGTTGTAAGTCTAATAAATATTAATTTTTTCACACTTGGTATTTTTATCACTAGTTTTTGTTTTCTCGATATGTAGATGTAAATAATGCACGATGGAAATGCAATCATCAATTTTTTAACACTTCTTTTATGTATGAATTTTTGCGATGAAGCATGATTATTGCCATGCACTCTGCAAAAGAAAAGGGCACATTAAATGTGCAATTAAGCATATTTATTCGACGTTAATAAAAATCGAGAAGCTCTATTCGAGTATACAAACAGACATTCTCGGCGTATGTCGTCGCTTATTTGACGTGCGTTACCTATAATGAATAAACCATGCATAACATTTTTATAGCCGTAATACTTCTTGACATCTGCTGCAAACATGTTTTAGATATACACGCATTTTTATGTATAGTACTCCATAAAATAACATGTTTGCGCATAACAGAATATTTATGCATAAGAGATACCTAAATGTACGGCTCGTAATGCGTAGACGGACAAGAATGTGATTTTTTTATAGATCACTTAGAAAATATTCAAATATATCTACATAATCTTAAAGTTGTTAGCTAATGAGATACAACAGTTGGGATACAACAGTGTGAATGGCAAGTGAATGGCATTGTGAATATTTTTAGATCGAAGTAATTGTCAAGTTGCGGTATAGTTTATACGTTTGAAAATGTCACGCACAGGAGAGCTAAATCAATATTTTTTTAGACATTCCAAAATACACGGAATTATAAACGTTTATTGAAGATGAAAGTTTGATATAAATAATTTTCTCTCTCCTACAGAGATATTAAAATATTATATTAAATTCTTATTTTTGAACACACACACACACACACACACACACACTCTACAAACGCTACACTGAAACTGCGTTCCGTGTAGAAAACGTGGCCATCTGTAAACATTAACCTGCAATCATAGCTACTCACTAGATGTCTCTTGCTGTTTTGGCGGCATCACTGAACTCTAAATAGTTTAGTAGTCGTTATGTGTTGCGTGGTCGTATATGTTTGTAAAATTTATAAAAGAGAAAAGGAGAAAACTCTTATTTTGTTTTTTAATAACACTTCTATTGTTATTGGCAAACATCATTTGTTGTATTCGATGTATTCAATATGATTCAGTAGCATTTATATTTGATACCGTGTAACGATATTACACTTAACCTATCACAATGAATAATAATATCGAAATAGGAATTATTACCTATATATATTTGGAGAATTTTGTGTGAGTAAAAATATCAATCAATATCTGATATTATGATTCATCCAAAGGATGGGCTATATACATATCTTATCACATAACCTATAATTTTGTTCATACAGTTTTTTTTTTTTTTTAAATCTCTTTTTAAACCTTGCAGCACTTATGATAAAGTTACAATAAAGCCTGGCAGATATCTCAATGTCATTATTGGACCTAATGGTTCTGGCAAGTCCACAATTGTCGCTGCTATAGTTCTCGGTTTAGGTGGTAAGCCCACTATTATTGGAAGGGCATCTCATATAGGAGAATATGTCAAATATGGATGTGAATCAGCAAAAATAGAAATTCATCTAAAGTCTGGTAAAAAGCAAAATCGTATGATAACCAGAATGTTTACTAAGCATGGGAAGTCTACATGGATGATTGACAATGCACAATCAAATATAAAGGCTGTGCAACAGTTAACAGCTAATTTTAATATTCAGGTACATGTTGTCATATGTATCTGTGTACAATTTTTATATCACATGTATCTTCTAATAATAATTGCTTCTTTTTTTGAAGGTTGATAATTTTTGTCAATTTCTGCCACAAGACAGAGTGCAAGATTTCTCAAAAATGGATGCTCAAACATTGTTGGAGAATACAGAAAGATCTGTTGGTGATCCGATACTCTTTAAGTATCACCAACAGTTAAAGGAATACAGAGATACTTTCAAAGAACTGGAACTTGAAATAAAAAATAAGAAACGACTACTAGAATCTAAAACTCAAACACGTGATGCAATGAAAGAAACAGTCAGTACAATAAAAGAAAGAAAGATGATAAAAAAAAAGATTACAGCATTGAAACAAAAGAGGGCTTGGATATTGTATGACCAAGCACGTAGAAAGTTAGTGGAGGTATGCAAAAATAATATCAAATTTTACTAATATTTTATGTTGTTTATATACTATTAAAATTGATTTCTTTTTCTTTATTATGGTTAATAGTCCAAGAAAAAAAGAGACAATGCTGTAAGGGATATGCAAGCAGTAGAAACTTTGTTAGAACCAATAAAGAACAAGATTAAAAAGATAACATCTGATATACAAAGCTTAAAAAAGTCTCTAAATGATCATGTAAGTATAAAAAAGAAAATAAGGCTCTAAAAATATTATTTGATAATTTTATAGTAGATTATTTGAACAGTTTATAATATGTTGTATAATTTTAGAACAACAAAGTTAACATTAAAAATAAGCAATTAAGAAATATCATGAATGAGATTCTCAGCATTGAAACCAAAATTAAAGATGCTGAAAGTGCATGTTTACGTCGAATTCAAGTGGAACAGACTCGAGATCAAGATATTAATCTCCGACAACAGAAAAAGTGCAAACTTGAGAATGACTTATCCCTTATGATTAATGAGATTGGATCAGGTTTGTAAACTGACTACTATTTATAGTAGTAATATATATTAATGCATTATAATGTATCATATATTTCAGAGGAAAACTTAAAGAAGCTAGTGGAAAATACAACACATCATATGGAAGAACACAAAGTTACAATTAATAAGCTCAATGGTGAAAATATAGCATTGAGAAATAGAGACGACATTCTCAATCGTGATGTTAAAGGTATATTTGACATACAAATTGAGATATTATACTATTTTAAATTAGTCTATTAGCTATTCAATTGATTGAAATTATGATTACAGCTTTACAAGCAGAACATCAATCCCTAAATATCGAAGCAAAACGTTTAGCACTCTTAAGACAAAATAGTATAGATACATATAAAGGTGTACTTTGGTTAAGAGAGAATCTTGATAAATTTTCGGCACCAGTGCACGAACCCATGTTGCTCAACGTTAATGTAAAAGACGCCTTTTATGCCAAATATTTAGAAAACGTGATACCGCTTCGAGATTTAATTGCGTTCACTTGTGAAAACAAGCAGGACATGAATTTGCTAATAAGATATTTGAGAGAACAACAGAAACTACAAGTTAACGTGGTTCATTCCGATCCTATGAAGAGAGTTGCTACGCAACCAATTATACCGATAGAAGATATTCAGAAATTTGGCTTTAAACATTACTTAGCATCACTTATTGAAGCACCACCTACTATAGTGAAATATTTGGTTTCAATGTACAACTTACATAACATTCCTGTCGGGACCAATGTAGTCGAGGATAACATAGAAAATATACCTCGTAATATAAACTGTTATTTTAGCGGTTAGTATCATCTTTTATATCGATATTGAAAAATATTTTAAATTAATTTTTATTTAAAGATTAAATGATTTTTGCAGAAAACAACGTTTATTTTGTCAGTACATCTAAATATACTCACGCAACATCCACCAGAATATCACAAGTTTCTGGAAATGAAACACTATCAATTGTTCTAGATAAAAAGAAGCTACAAATGCTTGAAAAAAAGTATATTATATGGACAAAAGATACTAATAATAAAAAAAGAACTTGTACTTATTAAAAAATATGTTTCAGATTGCAGCTTTTGCAAGAAACGAAGAATACAATTGCCAGGAACATTAAAGAAAAAGAAGACAGGATATGTGAGGAAAACAATGAATTAGAGAAATATCGATCCGAGAGAAATAAATATCAACAAAATATTCAGCAAATTGAAGCGTTAAAAGGAAGAATACGTATGGCTGAAAGCAGTATTAAAAAAATGGAGATGGAACGGAAGAGTATTGATGATATAAAAGAAGAATGCACCAAAGAAATTAAGGTTATTTATTTAATATAACACACGCGCGCGCATACATATATATATAATCCTAAAAATTTGTGTTTAGCTGTTTGCTTAGAACTTTGTGTATATTTGAAGGATACACATTTACATTTAATAAATTTTTTCACAGACTATAATAAAGAAACAACTAAACATGTACAAAGAATATAATGCAGTTCTGAGAGAATGTTTCGATTGTGTCATGGGCAACGAAGAAATCAAATTTGCATTATCATTATTACAACGAACTTTAACGACCAAAGAAAGTAATGCAGCGAATTTAAACGATACATACAGAGAGGCAGAGAAAATATATAAACAACACGATGAGGAATTCCAGCCGTTAAAAAGAAACGCTGAGAGTTTATATAGCGAAGCGTTACAAACTACAAATAATATAAGTCCACAGGATTCGGCGTTCAAGCCTCTAAATAAAGTCTTTGAAAAATTACCAGCTACCATAATCGATATAAATAATGAGTTGGATGTTGCCAATGCAAAAGTTTTCTGTATGGCAAAAAACGTAGATGCGGAAAATGTAAGTGTAACAATAGAAGATATAATTCTTCACGTATTATAACATGTAAATTATTGTATTTTTATTTCTAAAACTTCTATTTTTAGGCCGATAAGAGTCAGTCGCGGAATATTTAACATTTGAACTAACTACGGGAGGACAAAATCATTTGTCAGTGTAAAACGCACATATAGGAGGATTTTATCCGAAAATCCGTCTATATGCGTGTTTTACATTGTTAAACAATTTTATTCTCCCATAAAGAGAGAGAGTTTAAATTATTGCGTTATTCCCGATAACTCTTCTATTGTCCCATTATATGCTTAGTTGAATACCTAGAAAATCTGTAAATATTTATGTTTCCTTTCTTATATTTTTAGGTAATGCGTGAATACGAACAAATAATAAATAATATTCACTCTTTGACTGAGTTTGTCGAAACAAGAACTACCAAAATAAACAATATGACCGATAAGATTGCAGAATTAAAAGAAAAGTGGTTACAACCATTGGAGGAGCTGGTCGAGAGAATAAACTCAAATTTTAGTTCTTATTTTTCCGCGATGGATTGTGCTGGTGAAGTTACACTGTCGCGTGCCGAAGACATCGTAAGTATATACACGTGTGTATATAAAAGTTGTTCCACCAATCTTAATAGTCAAATATATTTCCAGATGGACTTTGATAAGTATGGTCTGAAGATTCGAGTAAAATTCCGAGATGCCGATGAATTGCAAGAATTAACAAGGCATTTTCAGAGCGGCGGAGAAAGAACTGTGACCACTGCCATTTATATGATCGCGTTGCAAGAATTATCGCGCGTGCCATTTCGCTGTGTGGATGAAATCAATCAGGTTCGTTGTTCATTATCGATAACAAAAAAATACATTTTATCTGACTAAACATTAAACTGATAATGATTTTGTCAGGGTATGGATGCAATAAATGAAAAACGTATTTTTGATTTCCTCGTTAAAATGACAGGAAAGCGAGGTAGTTCCCAATATTTCCTGCTTACGCCAAAAGTAAGTTTGTTACAACGATGTAGCAAAAATATATAATGACGTTAATTCCTATTAATCATGTTATTTTAACAGCTTCTACCTGATTTAACGTATACCGAGACGGTGACTGTGCACTGTGTCTATAATGGACCAGCTATTGATGCGACCGATGGAGATTTTAAATTTGATACGGAAGCTTACTGCAATCAACTTGCATCGCGAACGGATCAACAGGAGGAATGAAGTGGTTTCGTGTAAGAAAGCAGTATTTTGTTTTTTTATTGTATATATACGTACACAAAAAAAAAATATATATATATATATATTAACATATATTAATCGTTTGAAAACAGAACTGAAACATTTTTTATTTTTTTTGACGTACGTTTAAAGAGGTTTAAAAAAAACATGATACATTTGTAAGACATAAAACGTACAAGTCAATATGAAAAAGTACATGTTTTCATCTTACTAATAATAATAATATAAAATTTTACATACAAAATGTCATGAGATATAATTGTTTTTCTATATAAACTAATAATAATACTATAAGTTTCTCTTTCGCATAAGAATCGATATTTTTAGATACTTGAATGAGTATCTATTTATTTCTTTCTCTTTCCCTTCTTTTTTTTCTGAGCATCCGGCCATGGAAAACCTCGACACTTCAGCACGTCCATGATGTTGTGACACGTGTAATAGGCGTTCTCCATCATTTCCTCGTTGAAAATATCCATAGCGAACCGTGCTTTTCCTCCGCTTCTTCTCGATTTCTTCGAGCCTTTAGACTTGCCGCCATTGCCACCTTTAGCGCCTTTTCCATTATTTTTTCCGTTAGTCTTTGCGCCAGCGCCTTTTTTCTTGCCCTTGCCACGCGTTGTCATTGTTGACGATTATTCCATTAATACCTTAAGATCGCCGAGTCACTAAAAAATGTATTGTAGCTTATTGACAGCGAGAAGAGTCATATTTTTTAAAGTATGTATACATATATATAATTGTGTTTGTTATTTACCGCGACGCTCAAACTTGATTAGTTACTTTCTCTGTAGCGCAGGCGATTCTTGTCGCATTCTCGTGAACAGCCAGTCTTTAACCAAAATAAATAGCTCGCGTTGCTGTGTCAACTTGTAACACCCGTTACTATAGTTTCAGTTATATCATGAGATAACGTGAACTCATTGATCGTGCAACCCCTTAGAGTTAGTAAACACCAACATCGATAATTTATCTATACTTCTTCTTAAATATATTTTTAATTAAATATTCTTACTTTTCATTATACAAAAAATTATTTTATTTATACAAGTACGAAATCTTGACTTTTACGTAAACTTTACGATTTTTTCAGTGAGATCAGTAAAAGTTATGTTTATCTATTTCATCTACATCGGAGAAACGAGGATGATTAAATGCGTCATCGAAATACGGGATCATTTCCAATTTACAACAATTTTACGTAGGCAAAGGGTAAACTTGTGAGAAAAACTTGGTCGAAAGAAGACTGATGTCAAAAGTTGGATTTACAAGCAAAGAATAAATTTTCATTAATTTGAGTATTACTACTTAATTATATATAAAAGAATACATAATTAGCGTTTTATTTGATTTTTGTAGTGCGATAACTTTTAATCGACATGTTTTCGTGCAATTTTGGCCTTGACTGCTAACCATTAACCGATGGACCTCAAACAAAAATTAGAGTAAACAAAAATCAGTGTATGTGTTCGCGTCACTTTATGATTATCTATCAAAAAATTTTCGAACTCATTGTAATAAATATTGTAAACACGCACGTTTATACTTCACGTTTATACGTTTAAACATTACGGTGTGTTCAATCCACAAAATACACATCCAATTCAGATGAAATATGTGTGGTCTGTTTGAAAGATCGATAACGATAGTATCGTTATCGTTTCGCAAGTATAGCACGATGGAAAAGCTGCGCAATGAATGACATATCATGCTAGTAACATTGTCGTTAGGAGAAATTACAGGATAGGTCTGTGGTAGCTGGATTCTGTAATTCGTTAACTGTCATTCACGACAGTATCACTAAAACTATATATCTATATACTATGCGTTTTTTCAGCATATGTTATGCCTACGTTAACGACAACTCGTTAACAACAGTTACAGAATCCAGCTATTAATAGAGTTTTATAGCAGAGAAAACGAGAGCAGTTATGGACTTGATTTAGCTGGTCTGGTATATGATAAGTCACTATACAAACGTGCACATAACTACGTAGCCATGCGCACGAATTTCCTCGGTGGGTAACAAGTAGTGTCCATAATTTTTAGTTCTGTTCCATGCTATATGCATGGATGACGTAAGTTTATTTTAAAACAAATAAAACCAGACATGATTTGACTGTTAATTAGCTTATATACTTACGTACATATACTACTCGGTTGGTGTAACCGATTCTTATAATGTTTTCACATACATGAATTTGAATTGACTCGGAGTCAATTAATAAAGTATTAAAGTGAAATATCCAAGTTTCTATTTTGTTTACCAAACCCTGTGATTGGCTAGTATAGATTTGTTATATATATAAGTAATTTATTATATATATTAAATGATGTCCCGGATCAATTAAAGTTGTTGCAAAATTTTGAAGCGTCCAATGGGTCCTATCTAATAGTCTGCGTGGATCGATCATGAATCTTTTTTATGAATTAGTGTAATTTCATGACAAGAAAAAATGTTCTGACAGGAAGAAAACTTGGAAATTTTCACATGCCGCAAGTTTACACCGAAAGAAAAAATATATCGTCTCCGACGCAGGCTTTGGCTCGAAACTCCATGAACGTCATGGATCGCCTTTCGTTGGCGCGCGACGACAGCGCGGCGCACCGGTATAACTTTTGCGGGCGCGTACAGATGTCAGTCGTCCGGCGAAGTTCGACATGAGTGGACGTGTATAGAGGCGTTCGATGTGATGCGTTCACCTGCGTTCACCGAACAAGCTTGACGTTCTGTGAAGTGAGCCGGTGACGCGTCTCTCGAACACGAGGTTGCCGGTCGCGGATCAGTCGCCTGCAGGATCATCCGGTGAGCTCAGTTTCTCCGTAGCGACAGCATTTCGTGTGCACCTCGCTTCGACTGTCCGTCCGTCTCCTCCTCGCCGGATCTCGTCCGTTCGATAATTCGGGAACCGAGGAATGCGAATAAAACGGTATTCGGCTTCACACTTCCGTGTTTTGCGGACGACAGGACGGTCAGTTTTGCTCTTATCGACAACTGTCGCGTGATAACAATACAAGCCGATCACTTCAGACACTATCTTCGTAGTAGTCACTCATCTACGAGATTAGCAATTCTGCTTGTGTTTCTAATCTAAACGTCGATTGTGACTCCGATTATAAGTTTGCTCCTCTCTATTACTATCGTCAATCATTAGCTTTGGCTTGTTTTTTTGAACTTAAAAGCTATAGATGAGGACGAAGATCGGCGAACAAGGTTAGTTTTGCGCCGGTGGGATTCATGCTTGACAATTATTTCGATTTAAGGAGCAAGGGATAGTACTCGTTAATATTATAATATCTAACTCTTCGAGATGTTGCATTGGATGACACAACTTCACGATTGAGTATGAATTCAGTTTCAGAGAGAAAAAATGAGTCCCGAATCCTTCTCAGTCTCTAAACAGCACAAGTCTTTGAAAGATATCTTTAAGACGACTTATTCTTCTTAGACGTATTTCGTCCGTGAAATCCGTGCTGTCAAAACTTCACGCAACAGAAAAAGCATACAAATATAAATTTCCATGTTCGTCAATGTTGTTCATTTTATGTTAACTTATTCCCGCGGTGCTGAGAACTCGCACGCACGATTTTCTTGGCGCGAATTAATCGTTTATGCGAATCAAAGTCCCAAGGCGCTTGATATTTTCGTCTGCGAGCGACTTATCGCAAGCACCGATGCGTAAGCACTTTTTTTGCAAACCTTTTATCAGACATACCGGTACTACAGGACGATGAAAAGATACGTGAAGTCGCAGAGTTCACTCATCAATCTCGATTCTCCTCGCGCGTCTTCCATACGCTTTTCGCGTCGTATGTGACAACTCTACGCGCGAGCCTGGAAACATGATGCCAGATCGATCTGTTTACGCTCGCCGCCGGCAACATCCCCTTCAAACGCACATTTGCGATCGTGCGAGCGATCCTTTTTCTTTTCCCGGCTTATTTGCACAGCTATTTTCCGGCGCGCACACACACACACACACACACACACATACCATACATATACACATCGTTCTATATTTCAAATATGACGAGAATCGACGTCGCGTCACGTCGCGGCTCCCGTATCAGACTACGGATTGAGTATTGCAATCGGACCAATGAAACGAAGCAGAACCAAGATTTAGATTGCCCGATTGTCCCAACCCTCTCAATCCATAGTCTGATACGGACGTAACGAGCTGCAAATTCTGCTTCCAGGTCACGCTGACAAACGTCGACCGCATGAATCAGTGCAGCCTCCAATCCATAGCCTTTTATCGCCCCGAAGAATCTGTGGAAGAGTATATAGACAGTAAAATCCACTTCGCCAGGGAGATCATAAAGAGGTAAAAGAGATACAGCGCGTTCGTCGCGATGACTTCCGAAGGCGGTGTGACTGGCGCCGTTAGAGAAGCGAGGAAATTCCTTAAGATGTGTCGAAATCATAAAGAATAGTACGAGTGTTAAATGTTGAAAATAGCACTGCCATTCTCAAGCAGATGCGCGCAAACAGCGGTCTTTAGGGACAAGAGAGAACTTGAGTAATTTCGGCAAGTTCGTTTCGGCGGAGGAGAAAAATGAAAGACCTTCCTGTTGCAGCTTAACGCGACGAGAAAAATGTCCACTGCGCTATTGGCCGTGTTCGCCGTGATCCTCTGCATTCTCTTCAGGATACTAAATGTGAACAGCTCGCCGCATAGACCTGTTCTCGTCTGCAAGGACCAGTTCTTCTTGTCGACAGTGCTGAAGATCGCACCGGTCCTCGCCGAACCGTGAGTCGATATGCATATACATTTGTACGTGTGAACTCGTCGAGTTGCTCCCAAAATAATGCTGATCGAAAGAACTATCGACACGTTCGAGAAATAAAAATCTCCCTAGATTCCGGAACGTGCATCCTCTGCCGGGCGAGTGAGGTTAGGTTGACGTTAAACGCCGGTCAGCGGTCCGGCAACAGCCATGAATAAGCGTGACGTTTATGCCATTTTGCTCAACGTGTCAACAATATTTTTTGATGGAATATTAACATCATCGTGACATGCTATGTGTAATGGAAGTGAATACACGAGGAAAGGCAATTCTTGCCTCTCAGATTGTGTGAGAAGCAGAAAATTGTATTTTGTGGGGAAAGCATAAACTGTATTTTATCGTTCTTATTCGTTTATTTACATGATACAATAAGAAAATGTAACGACACGAGGAGAGAAGGCTGAGCAATGTTCATCTGTGGCTATGAAATTTATGCTTTATCTTGTCAGACATAAACAGTGTTTAACTAATGCCAAATACAGTGCTTATGTGTAACAGATTCAAAAATAATTGTATTAAATTTATATTTTAAATTAATTTTAAATTTATATTTAGATATTATATTTGTGTAACTAACAAAAGAAATGTATTTTGTGCTTCTGGAAATAGGGAAGATAGGTATCTCGTTCCATATAGACAGTAAACCAACTAGTATCGAACACAATGCTTATATGTGAGAGATACTAAAATAATCATATTAAACATATTGTGATCATGTCAATAATGAAACATACACATTGTGTGCTTTTGAATAAGATATAAAATGACAATGAAAATATGGAGATATGATTTATTTGCGTAGCTGCTTATATGACAGCAAATACTCTCGTGCCACTGTGATTGCCTTTGAATAAGCATAATGGAGATTTTTATGCCAGTACTAGGGATATTCTAGATAATGAACTGTTATGGCAGCTTTTGTTTGAGATTGTTAGGAAATATTTGCATGGTGATTTACAAACATGTTATTTAAAGCGCTTGTTACAAGGAATGACACATTGTTACAGTAGTAAAATATAGCGTAGCAGAGTATAATCCTGTAATTGAAGATGAATTCTTTTATCACCTTGAAACTTTAAGCTGTTAATACGATAACATTAATTCCTACAATCCGGCACTTTCTACAAAGTGGCGCGACAACAATTTTGTGAAATACTGCTTCACTTCTTCTTTTAATTATTATTATCATTATTATCATCCCCCTTTTTTATAGAAATTAGTAAAGAGAAAGCAACACGAATATAAAAAGAAAGTTTTTCTATGATTAAATAAGAAAAAATTTATTTGAAAAAATAATTACCGTAAATTGGAATAATTTTGGCCCAATCAGAGTAACTTTAGCCGAGAGTCGGGAAATGTTTATTTTCGATATAGTAGCTGTATATATTGCTTGATTCAGTTAATTTTGAAACTGTCGCATCAAATATTCTCTAATACATATTCGAAAAATATATATTAAGATTTCTTTGTTCTCACTGCGGTCATTTTGATTAATAATATCATAAGTGAAAAAAACGTATGCCCAAAGTTCTGACAGAATACATCGAAGTAGAAAAGGATATGTCAATGAAATAATACTTGCGATCAATTCAGTACATTTGTAAAATATTCTTCCTTTTATTCTGACGATTATTAAATGGATTATAAAATTAACGTGACAAAGTCCTGAAGAAAGATTAAAAAGAAAGATTGCGTGTCACGTTAATTTTAAAATCATTTATTGATTATTAGAGCAAGAGGGAAATTTTCAAAATATTTTACAGATGCGCTCAATCAACCTCAAGGATCATTTTATGGATATTTTATGGATATCTTTTCGTTATTTTAGCATATTTTGCAAGAATTTTGAGCATGTGTTTTCCGCTTTTTTCGCTTCTGACGTCATCGATCAAAAGTTCAGTGGCGAAGAGACGGAAATCTAAATACAATAAAAAAAATAAGTCGAGATAATCAAATCTGCATTACAAAATATCAAACCTTTAATCCAAGGAACTGCATTTCCGTTAAACTTTGCTGTACATTTTGCAATATGATATACTGAGGAAAAATACTTGAAAATTTCTTCGTAAGATATAAAGTTTATCTCTGTGAAACTTTCTATCGCAAAGTATTTTTCCTTAATATATCATATGACAAACTTTAATGGAAATGCAGTCCCTCGAATATTAAAAGTCTGACATCTTGTTATGCAAGTTTGATTATCTCGATTTATTTTTAACACCGCGCGCGATTCAGTCGCAATGCACTCCAAGGGAGAATTCGGAGCGGGGCGTTAACTCTCGGTACATATTCCAACGGAATTTTTCTGTTTCTGTCGCGCGTGTTTTATTACCGTGTATAGAATACCATGATCGGCAGAACTTCCGCGTCACGAAAGAAACGTAAGCACCGTTGGTCGGTGCTTCTATCGTTGCATACGCTAGAAGGAATGCGTCGTGTGTCTCGCTCGCGATTCGTGTATCAAAAATGTTTATCCGGCACGGCGAAATTGCGCTCTGATTGTACGATGCCAACGGAGCAAGCAAATTTATGTTACATTTTTAACGTAATTATATAACACGCTCCCATTAAACTAGCCAATGATTTCAATGAGTTCATTAATTCTTTCTTTTTTATTTTAATTGTCGGACAAAATATGGACGATCGGGAGCAACCGAGATAAGAAAGCTAAATCGAAACTGCAATTTGTAACGCATGAAGAAAGAAGCTGAGGTGAAACATTCAATTATTGACATCTCCCTTAGTTATTAGCAGAGTAGAAAAACCTGGCCGTTCTTTCGACCAGCGGCGATCATTTACAATTTTAATTGTAGAGTTTCCTTTCGAAATCATGGAATGCAAACAAGAAGTTTAACTGCAATGCTGGTCGCAAGAAAAACCAGGTTTTACAGAGTTTACTATTGAGAAGAATCTGGAACTAGACCGCAAAACGTTTGGTTATATCGTATTTATAAATAATAAATATTCTTAACTAAATATTCTTGATTATATATATACACACACACACATACACACATATATATATATATATATATATATATATATATATATATATATATATATACATGCATACATTATACATACATACACACACACACATAACGAGTTAATTTGAAATACTTCTGTAAAGCTTGATCTACAATGTGTTATTTGCTTCGTGTTTTTTTTCTTTATCTCTTTCTGACTCAAATCTTAAAACCTGATCTACAATGTTCTCTTTATGTTCTGTTTCTTGTCTTCTGTCTTTTTCTGGCTTAAAGCTTAAAATTTGAGTCAGAAAGAGATAAAGAGAAAAAAACAGAAAGCAAAGAATACATTATATCAAGCGTTAAGCTTTAAGCTTGTTCTACAATATGTTCTTTGCTTCCTACTTTTTTTTCTTTACCTCTTTCTAACTCAAACCTTAAGCTTTTTAAGCCAGAAAAAGACAGAAGACAAGAAACAAAATGCAAAAAGCATATTGTAGATCAGGCTTAAGTCTTAAACTAAAAAAAAACAAGAAACAGGAAGCAAAAAGCACATTGTAGACTAGGCTTTATGATACTAACAAGTAAACCTACCAAAAAATACACTCCGATTTCTTTCTAATTTGACACAAATGTAGAAGTACAAAAAATATTTTTAGATCATATTTTTTTATTTTAACTCATTTTGAGTTTCATGGGCAGTTTATAGCTTTTTAATGGTCTTACTCTTATCAACAAGTACAACAAAAATGCATAAGAAATAAAATTAAATACAAGATATAGTTAAATAATTTTAACAAAATCGGCATAACTGAGACACGAATCATTCTAAATTTCTTTAACCGAGATTCCAACCGAAATATTTTAAATCTGTGCTAAATTAGTCAAAAATGGTTCGAATCTCGGCCAAACCGAGAAATTATTTATTTAAAAATAAATAATTTTTTTCAACTTTTTAAATGTTTTGTTTAAACATTTTATTATTTATATAAATAATTTTACACATTTGATTTCATATTCATAATCAACAAACCAAAAACGCCTATATCTTGTATTCAATTTGATTTCTTATATATTTTTGTTGCACTTGTTGATGATAAGAGTGAGAACATTAAAAAGCTACAAACTGCTCGTGAAACTCAAAGTGGACCAAAATGAAAAAAATATGACCTAAATATTTTTTTATATTTCTATATTTGTGTCAAATTAGAAAGAAATCGGAGTGTAACTTTTTGGTAAGTTTACTTGTAAGACGCGCGTGCATAAGCTCTCAGTGACTTCCTCGACTTGAGTTGATTTTTGCAGAGTGTCAATATTATAAGTTATAAGGAAACGGTTTTTTTTTTTACATTCTCTGATAGGCAAATTAAGACTATATAGAAAAATGATTATTACTACGTTTTTCTCATAAAAAACTGAAGTGAATAGGATATATGCGAATAAAAATCGCTTTGGTCGTGTCGCTAGTGTTTATTGTAGATACCTACAATTGAGTGTTTCGTCTTGTTTCGTATAAAACGTGCGATAATAAAAACCTGATTTTTCTTCCGATCAACATTGCAAGTTAAGCTGCATTGTAATAATTGCAGTTAAGCTTCTGGCCTGCACTCCATGATCTCGAAAAAGAACCTCACAACTACGATTACTAGACTAAGAATATTAGATTACTAAATAACAATAAAGCTTAATTTACAATGTGTTCTTTGCTTCCTGTTTCTTAATTTCTATCTTTTTCTAATTAAAAGCTTTAGTTTTAAGTCAGAAAGAAGTAAAAAGAGAAAAACAGAAAGCAAAAAACACATTGTAGATCTGGACTAACTAGATCTGGATTAACATTTTGTATCCGTCGAATTATTGATAACAGCGTAAACAAAATCTATGTCGTGTTTTAACATTTTTGCACGAGACGTTTCATGCATTTCGATATATAACGAGATACAATTCTACTTCTCTATAGGAATAAAATAGCAATGTCAAGTAAACATGATTTATGATTA